ACCACCTTCTGAGGATATGGTTGGAACCACCTCCTGAGAAGGTGTCTGACACTATAGAATAATTGATACAAAGGTGACCATGCAGCTGGTATTGGACACCGAGTACCAGACTTTTAGAGACCACCCGCCGGACGAATACGAAGAACCTCCCAACCGCTTCTGTTCAGCCGGACGAATACTTGGGCTCCAAGGCTGCCCTCAAAGGGTTGACGTTCGGCCAGCTCGGTGCTTCCAGTGCCAAACGGAAATGAACGGAAAACATATGTGACAGTGTCCATCATGGAACCTCAAAAGGTGACGCATCTCACTTATTTATACCAATTTTGAAGCAATGAACCCAGAACTATGAACATCAATGAACACCCAGAACCCAGAAGCAGGAAGTGTAGCCTATTCCCAAAGAGAACACAGGACCCAAGCATCTATATGACTCGGTGGTTAGGTTGGGGTCGCTCACGACACGGTCGCCCTGGTCGCTCACGACTCGCAGGGTCGATGGTACAAAGATTCACGTCGAGCAGAGCAGATGGAATGGAACCGTTGAGCATACCAAGAGAGGTAGCCAGTGACCTGAACTAGGACCTTACTGGGGTACCCAACTGGGATAGTCTATAAGGTCCTTCAACCTCTGTTGGTAGCGGCGAAGTGTTGCTTCTTTTTTCAATCTCTTAGGTCGCGCAGGACTTTCATTGTGACTTGGCACGCCCAAACATCCTGGATTCATCCAAGAGGAGGTTGAGAGACCTGAACTAGGACCCTGTAGTGATAGATATGGGATGGGCTAAAAAGGGCGCTGTTCAACCTCTCTTGGATGGTTTCAACTGTTCCGCAGCGGAGGAAAAACCATGTCTTGCACAGACTTGTCACTGGCACGTCATTTCCACTGTGGCCGATGATGTTGTCCTCCCCGGCCACCAAGTAGATGCGGTTGTTGTCCCCAAGCACCTGACGTGACGTGGCGCCGTGGCTCCCGGTTCGGCCCAGAAACGTCAGGGTGGAGCTTGTTGGGCTATCTTCAGAATTGGGGGGGATCGCTTGAAGCTTCGCGATTGGCCATCGAAGGTTGGCTCACGAGCTGGTTGGAAACCAGCCTCAAATTCTTGTTGAACACATAGTATAGGACATGGAGCAAATGCTTCACTTGCAAACCGACACCTCCAAACCTAGCCTAAGCGAGCCGAAAAACACACCTCCGCTAGAGGTTCCCAAAAACACCTCCGGTATGGCATGTTTTTCCTCCGCACCTCCAGAAATTTATGGATTCTTCACCAATGCCATTGAAAACAACGCCCAATCGGACTCTGGATGATGGAGGTTCTTGCTCGAGATGGAGAAGGCCGCTCAGGTTCTGATGCTCACTGTACATGACTCATATGATGCATGATGTGCTTCTGGGAATGAAAGAGGGGTCAATTATGATTATGCTAGCACTGCTAGCACATTTAGTTGTTCAGGGTTGGGAAACTTGCTGGTATCGTGGCACTCGGTATCCCCTCTACTCTACTCATCAACATTCATCAATCAAACAAATGGAAAAAACCAGCTATGACTCAAGGCCGTTGCATATCACCCCCAGCGTCATCCTGACCTGGCCCTGGCGAATTTGGTTTGTTGACATTTCTAACCCCACTAGCTGAGGAGTACCTGGTACAACGCTGCACGCTCTTCATGATATCCTAGGTTGATAGTATTCAGCTGAGCTGAGCTCCAACTTGTTTAAGTACCCAAAATGGCCCCATGGTTTTGAGTCGAAAAACCCGCTCTCGACTCACCAGTCAGAGAGTCAAAGAGACCGTCCCCTTTCGGACACACATGAGCAGCTCCACGGTCGTGAACGGCTCCAAGTCACCGTGTTATTCACCACGATGTGGGTCATCTCCTTCGTCTTGTCTTCCTTCCTCGTGATATCCGTATCAATCGTGTTGTTTTCCTCCTTGGTCTTGTCCTTCTCGTTCCTGGGATGAGCGCGCCATGATGTTTCGTGCAGCGGTGTGACTTCCCCGCCACCCAGTTTCGTTCGAAAGGGTGCGGCATCTTGCAGTATGTGTTGTTTGGATTGATTTCGGGTAGTTGTCCAGCTCAAATGCCTTTGGAACAACAAAGGAACACCCAATCCAAAGGAAAAATACACATTAAAAAATATCTGACTGGTAGGTAAACATATATATATATATCATGATTACTGTACATTATGAATTTCATATAGTATTATAGCGTATATACATAATATAATAGCAATTCTAGATAGATACAAAAAAACAATAGTAAATAGTGAGGGATCATTCCCACATATATTCTCCACCAGGCACCAGTGAGAAAAACATCATAGTCCAAAAGGTCAGTACTTGACATACACTTAACAATTGTGCATTCGATTGAAAACAGTTCCTGCTATTCGCGCCAAATGTCGAGCTGTACCTCCTCTGGCGTGGCTGGACGCTTGAGGCGACCGGCTCGCGGGTCGCTTGGTTGGTCCTGAGAATAGTAGAGATACTTCCTGGTTCATACGGTTCATGCATTAGGTGACCACATGTATACAATCCAGTGTTTGGGGTACAAGTACTTTCTGATTTAATCGAACCTCCCTTGGGCCCATTGGGGAGAGAACCGGGAACATGGGGAACATGGTGACACCTGCGCTTGTCTGAAGCCTTCTTCACTACGTCACTATATATTAGTTGCACCAGCCTTCGCAGGGATCCTTCCTTGAGAAAAGGTGCTTGGGGTTTGTTTGGAGGGTCTAGCCTCGAGCTCGCATCCACAAAACCCTCAAGCCTCAAAACCCCTTCGGGCTGGCAGGAGAGGGTTACCTAAACCTCTGCAAAGGTGTTCGGTCAGTACAAGGGCATAATCAGGTTTGACAATATTATTAGCAGATCTAGTGAGGTTGTCTTAGACTTTGTGCGTAGCATGAACACACCCGATAAGTGCATCGAATCTACTCTGCACCCGTCCCCAACAACAGCAGCAGTAGCAACAATCACGACCACGACTGATGACAACTACAAAAACACGAGAATACAAACAATATTAGCAGCAGCAAAAATAGACCAGCAACATCAACCCTTATTACTAAATTCAGTGCATGCCCCCCCAAAGGCTCTTTAGAGGGGGATCCCCCCAAAAGCACCTCTGAAAATAGATGTCGGTGCCATCTGAGCCCTTGTCTTTCTTCGTCCACGTCCGGTCCTATGACATCCTATCAACCCCCAGGAGGTCTTAAGGCAAACCCACGCGCTTGCGTGTGCGGTCATGACTCACCCTTTCCAACCGATGCATGACAGTCAAGACAATAAGCGCTACAAGGACAGACTTGCGTGTGTTGCTTCGCATGGTGGAGTTGCGATTCACACAGCTTTATTTTGCACTATACTCACCAGGTCTGCTGGCTTGTCATGGCCAGCTATTTGATGAAGTTGCACCACTCGTGAGTCGGCACGTTTTGGACACCAGGTCACAACCAGGACATGCACGGTGCGGTGTTTCATGGATCTTGGCGACTCGGTGCCCCCAAGTTGAGTGGATGGAACTGCGGCAGCCCAACATCTCTATAGCACAGAGAAGGGCATCCCACTCTATGGAGTTGCTTCGGAAGACGTTCTGTCCTACCGGACCCTCCTCGACCGACCCGAAGCACGACCGACCTCGTTCCATCGCCCCGTCCTGCTCTGCCTCTCCTCGCGCCGCTCCGCCCGTCGCTCCGGATCGGCAGCATCCAGAGCAGCAAGGCCGCGCGGTGCCTGGGAGCGTGGCGTGGGTTTGGGTCACGAAACCCCTCATTGGGCTGAGGAAACAAGGTGTTTGGATGTTTCGGGTTGGAAGACATTGCGGACTGGGTTCTGGATTGGACTATGCATGAGCAAGCCGAAAAAGAACCACTCTCTTGTTCCTATACCGCGCGGGTTTTCTGGCATCCATGACCTTGCCAGCAAACTTGGGCTAGAAAAGGCTATAGCTCCGCTGCCAGTCACCTGCGGCCCCACCAAACTCCCATTCACTTTAATTCTGAAGCAAGGAGCTCTGTTGTTGCTCAACCGACGCTCCTGACCTATTGTATAAGGGAACATATTGCGGTCCAAACCACACAAATAAGCTCCGCGTTGAAGGGCTTCTCCACTGGAGAGAGGCGAAAAAGGTCGTCGGCTTCAGCCGCGCAGCGCTCCGCCTACAGTCGGATGGTGAGCTGCGGAGAGCTAGCAAATCATGGGGAAGTGGGTCGTCTTCATTGGAGTGAAGTTCAAGAATGCATCATATTCACAGGAATGTGAATCCAAAAATAGAAGCAACTGATCCCAGGACCCGACCCCGTGGGGTGCCCTGTTCAGGAAGCCGAACGGCCGGATCCGTGTGGGGAAGTCCAGCCAGGACACCCCGAGGGTCGGAGGGTGTCTCAGACCCTGGCGACCGTGACTGTGGCGTGATCGGGCAAGCTCTGTTCGGTCTCTGCAGGTGGGGCACTGCAGGTGGTGCACTCTTCCATACACATGAAGTGGTGGATGACACATGAAAGACCTTTAAAAACTGCAGCAGTTCTTTCAATTTCAGTATGTAGATAGGTGCACTCCTCACCTACTACGTGGGCAATGAAGCTGATGCTTGCATATACAAATCCCAAGTGAGTAGCCAGTAGCCAGTATGGTCAGAACATGGTCATCTCAGTCGGACCAGGAGGCTTGTTCAAAAATTGGCTTGTTTACAGGCTAATAGGTTTAAGTTTAATTACCTTGCCAACCCTATTCATGCACACGACGAAGCTGTTTCAATAACTGTTTAAAGCTAGTCCCATGCTGGCCATGCGAAATGGACTTCCTGTCCTCATAGGAGCCCAGCTGATCCACCTTGCAAGACCCGGCCAGAAAATGTGTTTTCCTGCTGAATCGTATCTGATTGTATCTAGCCAGGTGACCGCTCCACCAGCAAATGCTCCCCGAACCCGATCATGTTGTGTCTGTCTTCGCAACTCATTCGTGCTTGGTTTCGCCAGCCACCGTCCTTTCACTTCCACCAGCCCTTCCCGCGCCCACGTTCACAGCCCCACCGCGCAGTGTGGCGCGCGGTGCCGCGCCTTCCAACCCAGCTCTTCGCAGCGGTTCAGGAAGAAGGCCTTGGCCTCCAAGACCGTCGCCGGGCACGGCTCTTGATCGCCCGCGGGGTCGGCGGGGTCCACGTCGCAGGCAGCACACAACGAGTCCTGGCCGATATGGAGAGGCGCCACAAAGGCCTCTAGCACCCGATCAATTATATAAGTATGATGAATTCTGTTTTATTGATGGTTCATGCTTAAAGTCCCTCATCGTATATATTGGTGGTACTATTTGGCAATTTTCACAACCTATGGTTTTTAGGTTTTAGTTCATCCCGTTTTGGGAATATAACTTTTTCAGCTGCCGGAAGTGTGTTTTCAAGACTGTTTTGCCAATGGACCCATTCCAAATGTTTTGGCGCAGTCCACCAAAGCTCAATTTTTTGGGCTCCTGCCAAGGTTGAGGTCGTTTAGATGAATCATGGCCAAACCCCAGAGCCCATAAGGAGGGCTCATCACTCCACATGAACCAAACTACACAATGAATGCACTGTGTTCAACAATGGTTGAAAGAGTGTGTACAGAAGGATCTTGTCTCAAACAGCTCTCCACGGAATTGTATGAGACACATGGGACTCCCAGTTTATCAAGCTTACAAAGAAAGCCAACACATCAAGCAACAACTAGATACATTAGTTATTGACATACTTGATGTACACGTTTTACAATGTTTTTTAAAAATAGACTTTTAAACTTGGATTTTGAATCTGGAAACGTCTAGAAGTCTAGAATTTAGGAAAATCAACATTGTGTTGTCCTGTTAAGCCTGGCCGGCATGTTGTGTCCAATCCCAGACATGAGCCAAAAGAAAGCAATGAACAAAGTATGCTAAACGATTTGGTTACAGTACTTTGCTTGGTTGTCATCATGGTCCCCTGGAAAAGTTATAGTTCCGGAATTTCCCGAACTATAAGTCCCGTCAGCGGTCCTACGCGGTCGCGCGTGGTCCCCCGAAAAGTTATCGTTCCGGAATTTCCGGAACTATAAGTCCCATCAGCAGTCCTACGCGGTCGCGCGCGGAATTTCCAGAACTATAAGTCCCATCAGCGGTCCTACGCGGTCGCGCGCGGTCCCCGGAAAAGTTATAGTTCCGGAAATTCCGGAACTATAAGTCCCGTCAGCGGTCCTACGCGGTCGCGCGTGGTCCCCGGAAAAGTTATAGTTCCGTAAATTCCGGAACTATAAGTCCCGTCAGCGGTCCTACGAGGTCGCGCGTGGTCCCCGGAAAAGTTATAGTTCCGGAAATTCCGGAACTATAAGTCCCGTCAGCGGTCCTACGCGGTCGCGCGCGGTCCCCCGAAAAGTTATGTTCCCTGAAAAAAGTTATAGTTCCGGAAATTCTGGAACTATAAATTGTGTGCCAAAATTCTCATATTTTGGCGGGTATGTTTATGTTTTTGACTCAAATGTAAACATTTGCACCCGTTAATTGAAAAGTTGACGGGTATATTCATACTTTTTTGGAGCCATAGACCTGGAAAAAATACAAGAACATACCCGTCAAAAAATGAAATCTTGGACACATAACTTATAGTTCCAGAATTTCCGGAACTATAACTGTTTTCAGGAAATATAACTTTTGGAAGCACCTGTGGCAACCGAGCACCTTCTGAACAAGTTTCTTGGGACCGCACGTGACCGCGAAGGACCGTTGACCAGGCTTAGCCCACCACAACCGCAAACGACCGTTGACCAGACTTATAGTTCCCA